CCACCCGGGTCCCATTTTTGGGCCACGGTCGTGACGAACTCGTTTGACGAACCCTTCCTCTCCATCCATCCGATCCTCGAACTTCGCAGATTTTCTGCAGTCGAGTCGAAGAGGCAGGTAAAACACCGAGCGGTGACTCTATACCGCGGTCGAAATTTTCAGAACTTTAACGGAGGACCGGATTCCAACTCAAAAAAGGAAACGATGTATCGTTCAGTCATCGTAGGTATGGAAACCCTGCGTTTAAAACGGCTCGGCACTAGCACCAGAAGACGATCGAGCGACACGCATGCTCTTCGCAATCCTGCATTTTTATCTCCACTCCAAGCACTGGAAAAGTTTCGGTTCGGATCGAACGAGGAAGAGTCGATTAAATTTATATTATATAATCATATAGATCATATACATTTCGAGCAGACAATAGATTGCGTTCTCGTCGATCCGGTATCGATAAAATAAAAGGGTGAGAGAGCAGTTCGAGTCCAGTATAAGTGAGTCAGGCAAAATTGGTGGAGGATTCTTTACCCCGAGGATATTTCCTATCGAGTGGCCCCGGGATAGAATGAAACCGATTTGGCGCGATGGATGGAAATTGTTTCATCTATTTCTTCTAAATCGGCTTCCTAACTATTGAGTGGCTCACTCTTAGTGATACCTCACTTAAGCTGTTTCTCATTCACTGCTCGTAAATTTAGTCAGGATTTACTCCATTATTAGGTCCATTTGTGTGACACCCAAGAGCACCCTCTCGAAATGCTCGCCCCTGTACTTTCATAACTGAGGACCACCTCTGGTTCGTGTCTCACTTCACCGACTGTCTGTATTTCTGTTATTATGTCTTCAATAACGCCAACCGGTCGATATCCGTGTCACAGAGACGTGGTATTTAGGAATGCCTCATGAGCATGCCTGATGGGAAGACACATTCTGGAATTTGGATACCGACGGCCACCATATTGTGAAAATGATATTCCTACCCTCTAGTCGGATTTGAACGGGGATGTCATGGGTATGCGCGGTCTCTCTCATTCTCTCTCCCTCGTCACACCATGTGCCGCTGTTGTGGGACTCGAGAGTCGGTGATCCAGTGCACTGGGCCAAATTTTCACAGGACAAACGGCCCATTAAAACCAACTCAACAACGAGAATCGGTGGTGCTTGGGAAGCCGAGTGGGCAATCCCTACTGCTGCAACTGCTTCCGCCTTCCCCAGGGACCTTTACCTCCTCGATCGGTTCTTGAAAGAGAAGCACCGGAGAAGAGAGGAACGGTGCTCCACCGAGACTCCTTCGGGGATAGGAGGGAAGTGTGACCTCCAGAAACCAACTCTTTTAAGAAATCCAGGGGATGCTGCACATACAGACGAGATGCACTGGAGATCTGCAGGGAGAAGTCGGAATGAGGCCTTCCATAGCAAAACCTTTTCCCATCTTTACCTCTCGTAGTGACTACTGATATAATAATTACTTTTCCTATTCATAAGCCAGATATGCCTGGCATTCTATATGTAGGGCGACGTGCAGAGATGCGCCTCCATATAAAACATGCATCCTCCATATAGAACGCCAGGCATATCTGGGTTAAGGTTGGGAAATTTTCAATGGAGGTCTTTTGCAATATGACGGCCGAGAATTTTTGATGTCATCGATGCTGTGGACGTTTATAGTCACAAATTCATAATCATTTGCGAGGGATCAGCAGTCTAACTTGAATGGGCTATAAACACACGAGTATACATACTGTACAGGGAGGAATGCCACATGGCATCGAACTACGTATGGCAAGAACACGAAGGGCCAAAAGCAGGCAGAAAACTCGTAGCCTAGAAAACACGGAACGACATTTCGAAGGGACTAATTTGATCAGGTGCGTTTCACGTAGAAGCAAGCAAAACGGGACCGCCTCACGTGCAGCAAAAAGTGTGTCGAATCGTTCACATCCAGAGTCTGTTCACGCAGCCTAAGAACTCCCGGAATCGAATAACGATGCTCCGAAACGATAGAACGCCACAGAGCCGCTGCGTTGGAACGTCCCGGGACTGGGCGACATCTACTGTTCGTATATGCAACTATTAGTGGCCTCCTTGCAACCTAGATGTTACCAATTGGTCTATGATTGTTTATTGTCTTTCATACCTTTTTAAGGGAGAGTAACTAATATCTTCAAGTCTTTCCCATTATTCACTTATGCTAAATTTTAGACTTTTTTTCTGGTAACGATGGATAGCAATGGCGACGGATGTTTAGAAGAGGAGGGAGGCATCGTTCAGTTGCTTCCTCTTCCACGCCAATAACTTCTTCCTCTTCTCCCCCCCCCCCCCCCACACCCGTTCCTCCTGATTTTCCATTCAGCTTCCTGATTCATGTAGAGATATTCCTGGCTTAAATTACAATTATTCGCTCTTCCATTCATCATTCAACATAAACCTGGAACGGTGACATTTCATGTGACATTCAAGAAAGCGAGAAATTCATGCTTGAATTCTGGAAGAACCAGTTTTGAGACCTTGAAGAACCAACGGTCTTTTCTGTCATATGTTTAGCATGGACCATAAAAAATCTTCAATTTTGTTTATGAGGAAAAACTATTGATATGAGGAAAAACACGTTTCTGTAAGGAATAGACCAACAATGCGCAAGGAAACAGATTCCTGTACTTGCAACACGATAGTCTCATTAAACTCGGGATTCTTGACAGCACCAGCAGAGCAAAATAGAAAGCCGCTCGTCATCGCACAGTCCGTCAGATTCCATGAAAACTTCATCGAAATTTAAGTGTGAATGCATATAGCGATTATAAGCATATTCTTTTCCAGATGAATGAACATGAGACAGATGTTGTGCGACTCTCACTAACCTCAAAGCCTCGAATCACGTAGTCACCATCAAATAAAGTAGGAGCATCGAAACAGCAAATCAAAATATGTTGAAGTATAAATTCGGTAATTTAATGATTCATAAATCTTGTTGGAGTCGTTCTAAAAACTTGCTTTCCATGTTTCCAGTGTGAAAGGGCTCGAGCCCACAGGAAGAGAGAAATCTCCCTTCTAGTTAGGAGCTCTAAAGAGTTTACCTTGTGGCTACACAAGCTTTTTTTTTTTTTTCTTGGTAACCTTGGAAGCTCCAGGAATCGTAAAAAGGCATCTGCCTATTCCGTGTATATGGTCGAAGACGGTCCTGTCTGCGACTGTGGACTGAAGATGGAGTCTGACGACCGTTTGCTTCTTTCGAATGCGATCTGTTAACATGGACGGCTTCGCGTTTCGCGCGGCTCCAAACCACTGAAAACAACCCCCCCAGGGCTGAGAAGAGCAGACAAACGCACAGACATTGGAAAGGTAAACAGAAAAGTCCTCCCGGGAGACCTGGGCTCAAGTGACACAGAAATCAATCGCTGGCGTTCGGAAATCACTTCTGGGATTCCCAATCTTTCAACAGATCTACACGAGAGAACTGTAGAAAACCTGGGGTCAGTCTGTGAATGGAGATATTTCAGGTAGGGTACGTGCTCAACTAAATGATCCACACGTCATCAATGACATCATTTAGTGTGCTGATGATCTTATTCTCTCTCTCTCTCTCTCTGCCCGGAATAGAAGTTGGAATATGACCCGAAAGAAAAATGCATGGTGCAATGACACGAGTTATTTAACTTGCTGACTACAGTGAAATAAGTCTAAAGTATTTCCTCTGAGCTCGTCCTCTTTTTGCTGAAATGGTTTCTTCAAATGGTCCGTCATTCGCAATGTAGGCATTTTAAAATGTATGCGGTAGCTTTTTCAATCCAACCACACGCCAATTTGCCTGCAATCCCTGTAGGTAAATGGTTTGGATTTCTTTGTTGCGACGATTTCGGTTGAATTCATATGGCAACCCTGATAGCAACCCCACTTTTAGTGGCGGACCAGTTCGGCGGACTTTGCAGCGGAGAACGGTAGTTCTTAAACCAGAACTTTATTCGGTGGCCTTAGTTCTTACCTTAGGCCTAGCACGAACAGGCTGGAGCAGAGTCAAGATTGAAAGAGAAGGTTTGCCTAGCGTTTTGCCCAAATTCAAAGTTTCAAACGGCCACCAGGATCACAAGATAGGCGTAAGTGAAATTGGATAGACTTATCGTAAAGTTAGGCATAACGGGTACGTTCAAATGGGGATATAGCTAGGCGTTGGGTTACTTCGGAAGAACTCACAGCCTGGGCGTAGGGCGCTAGGCCTAGCTTACCGTAGCCTACGTAGTCCCAATACACGTATAAGGTTACGCATATTTTCCTGGCTCTGTTCATCGAAGAACTCAGAGGTACAAGAACGACAGTTATGTGGAAGCCTGTAGTAACCTCAAGTGGATCGGGTAGTTGTGAATTCATAATTGCATTGAATATATATATTTCCCTTGGGCGTGGCTGTTGCTTGTTTACCTTGATTCAACTTCTATTTTCAAACATGAATTCTTTCATTCTCTCTCCTTCAAAATTCTCTCACTGTCTGCATTTATTATTTGTACTTATGCAGCTTGTCTTGCTTTGTGTGTGTCTGCACATCATGATCACCAACTCATCCAACACCAAAGAGGAAAACATACACCAGAGTGTATGTTTTCCTCTATGTGTTCTTTAAGAAATGAAGCTGCTCTCTCTCTGTGTTAGGAATATATATTTAGCTCATTTTCAAGCCAGACTTCTGAGTGAAGCTTGAGGTAATCCCAGGAGTGAGCCATCTTAAGTGTGGGGCATTGCTCAATCAGCAGTGGCTAAGGAAGAGGAATTGGTAAATTGTGACTACTCTGGCAGAAACCAGTATAATTCCTTACATGATACACCCCCTTCGGTGGTCATGCATCAGACTGGCCAGTGGTGGAGGAGGCACTACCTGTCATGGATGTTTGCCTAGGCTATAGCCAAATGGTTGACCTGTGCCCAGTGTCTACATCTATCTAAGTCTAGCCCTGTGCATTGGTGTTGCTAATGTAAAATTTTGAAGTGGAGTCTGATATATTGGCATCAACTTTATTTTCCAGATCTTGAAGGCTTAGTAACAGGTGTTGATAGCCATTTGATCAGTATGTCTGCTGATGTGGGAGCTGAAGAATTCAAGGAGAATCAACCAAAAGAAAATAGACAAGCAAAGTAAGTATTTTTTATGTAAGCCTGCCCATCAAATTGATTAATGCTCATGAGTTACACAATGTGTCTGTAATTAGAATACTTATTATTGGAATGATATAGGTGAATAACTTATGCATTGGCAAAAATATATACATCAAACTGGTTATCAGTTCAGTAATATTGGCTATAATAATTATGAGAAGGTTTTTCATGCCTTTGAATGTTTGCTAAGAGGGACACTTACCAGTGATAGACTGCCAGACTGTCATTGTGACAGTAAAGGAATATAAAATACATAAGAGTCATTAACATCTCACCACCTCAAATATTTATGCACTCTAATATCATTTAGGTATCTCAACTCTGTTTACCATAACCCTTATCCAGAAAAAGTATTCTTGTAACGTAAATGGACATGTGAGTCCAATGGACTCCACATATTTATAATCAATTTCACCATGGATTTGATCTAAAAAGCATTCATATTTGTATAGATAATCAAGTCTTGCACATAAAGAAATGGTGTTGAGTGATGAAAAATGACATGAAACAACACAGGGCCAAGCAAATTTATAACAGAAAAATGTATGGTTCAGAGTCCAACTGACTTACCATGTCCTGATGAGGTTAACTCCTTGGCATAGTATTTTTTCAATAAATATTTGTAATTTTTCAAGTCTTCCATACTTTAACTAGTGCTGATTTACTTCTAGGCTGCTGCACAGGAGTAACACACAAACCTTGCCACTCAATTCAAACCAAACTTGATGTCTCTATCATAATTATACAATTTAAAATATCATTTAAATAAAGGATTGAAGAAAATTGCCATGATGGCAAGGGGTTAACTCTAGATGGATAACCAAATCCCCTTTGCTTACCTTACTGCTTGTCTATGCTAACCCTACTTTCCCTATCTACCTTTCCCTGGCCTCAATTAAAAAAATTATCTTAATATTTGTAGCATGATCTAGAGCACCCATTATCAGCCAATATACAGATCTCTGTGATTGGGTCATAACTAATGTCTTTGTCATTTTTGTTTGTTTGTACCTGTGTTATGGGCATTTACTCAGGTACTAGATTTTCCCTGCATTTCTTCTGTGTTGCATAAATTAGGTTTGTGATTTCCTGAATTAAATTAATCATTTTCTGCAGCCTGGAGAAGGTAACATTGACTCCCCCTGAAGTTCACTGATTAGTTGAAGTTTGCTGTTTTGCAGGAACACTGCCAGTAACTTCCTCATGGCTAATACCTAGGTCCTATAGGGAGTCAGGAATGTTTCTCCATTGCAACTTGAACGTCCATGTGATCTCCTAAATTAATGGTATTCCAGGATTTTGCAATTTTGTACATTACCTATACCCTCATACAGGGTGTCCCAGGTATGAATGCACCTGGAATACTCTTTACCTCTGGTCCTTATGACAGGCATTAGTACATATGTGGTGATGTGTATTTCTGTCCAGTTAGTGCAGTGATTGAAAGCTTTCTCCCCACTGTATGGATACAGTCACTACATAGCTTGTGTCTTTTGTGGCTGTGCTGTCTGCAGCTGTTTCCCAGAAACTAAATTATTGAATCTCATCAAATTCAGTAATTCATGTGGTATTTCCTTTTATTTTTTGCTTACTTTAACATGTTGGCTACCATTTTTGGATCACCAGTAGTGCATCCAGTTTAACAGCCATGCATCAGGTGTCCTATAATACTTGGTTCTTTATGTATTGCTTTTAATCAATGAAAATTTTAATTGTTGTAGAAAAATGATGACTTGATTAGATATAGTCAAATTTATGAACATGGATATTTGCCAGTTGCTAAAAAAAAAATTGAATGAGTATATAACTCCTGGCAACAAATGATAGCCTTTTTTCATGACTCATAACTCAATGTTTTTTCTTCTCTTTTGTAGTCAATGGTCCCTGAAGGACTTTGAGATTGGCAGATCCTTGGGCCGTGGAAAATTTGGCTCTGTGTACTTGGCAAGAGAAAAGAAATCTAAGTTCATTGTGGCACTCAAAGTGCTCTTCAAGTCCCAGCTGGTCAAAGGAGGTGTGGAGCATCAGCTCACAAGAGAGATTGAAATTCAATCACATCTGAGGTTTGTTGCTCACCCCTTTTCCATCATAAGTGCTGTACAGAAAACCAAAAATTGTTCTAATGTTGAAATATTATGGCTAAAAAATCTGAATATGGATTTATGGCTAGAAAAAAAGTGATGATTGATCTTGCAATCACTCTGATGAACACAAGTGGATAGTTTTTGTTAACCATAGATTAGCAATATTTTTACACATAGCATGTGAGTACATGGGTCACTGCAGAAAAGTTTAAAGTGAGTTCTAGTGGAAAAAAAATTGAAGGAAAAGATTTTAGAATGCCAAATGGAAACAAATAGTTATTTAGGGATATACAAAGCCAATGTAGAGGTTTTATTCACTTCTTCATGTCATATTAACAGATTTTGGCAGAAGTGCATGCTTCTCTTCGTACTTGACAGAAGGCCAAAAAGATACACCTTCTGAAAATAATTTAGAATCCATTCATAATCTTGTCATCTTCAATAGCTGCTTCAGTGACAGTTGTGACTAGAGGCATATTCCTTTCTTTGCATGAGAAGAAGGAAGTGAGAGTCATCCATCCACTTTGCACAATCATTAGCTAGAGAGGAAGTGGCCTACAGTAAAGTTTTGCACATTTGACAAAAGTAAGGAATTGAGTGGTATAGACAGCTGATATTGCCATCTGATGTATCATGTATCACATGTATAAGGTCACTTTTAATGTTGTCCATGCAGCACAGGAGTACATTTTATGCCTCTCAATTTCTTGCATGTGAATTTAGTACCACAAGTGGGAATTCAGATTTTTTATGAAGACTTTCATTAGACATACATGAACATCTACCTAAACATTCCATTTTTCCAAATCCTTGATAAGTAGTCATAACTGATAGCCATTAGCAAGAATTTCAACAAAGAAAGGAAATAGCATGCAGACTTGAAGCAGCAACTAGTGTCTGGATTTGAAAGTGAGAAAGAATGATGTGCTCTTCCATTGAATCATAGGACAGAATGACAGAATATGTGGAAGGAGAAAATATATATATTTGTCAGGAATGTTGTGTGCTTGGAAGAGCCTCTAAAGATGGCCCAGAGACAAAGAGCAGAAGACTTCACCTTGAACATAAGACTTGTATTGATAGTATCTAAAACCCATCCCTACTCTCAAGCAGAGTTGAATGATGCCTTGCCTTTCAAGTGAATCACTACTTGATAAAGTTTCTTGTTTTCTTCTTGTTTCATTCTTTAGGCATCCAAACATTCTTCGCTTGTATGCCTATTTCTGGGATGATATCAGGGTTTACCTTGTGCTTGAGATGGCTTGCTATGGTGAGATGTACAAAGCTCTGAAAGCCTCTCCAGGTCAACGATTTCAAGATGACAGGCAAGATTCCAATTTCTTTTTTTCTTTTTTCTTGTCCAGCTGTCAGTCACATTCTGTATGTCATGGCAGCCTAGATCACATGACAAATGAATCTGTGTCTCAACCAGAGAGAAAATTGTGAAGTATGATGAACTTGAAGACTTCATTAAGAGTTTGAAATGCAAAGGTCTCATCCCAACTTAATAGTAACTTGCATAAGCCTCATGACTGTTCATTATTCACATTGAGACCAAATCTTGCTGATGGCAGGTCCAACTTTATATATTGGAGATTTGGTGCATGCACATCTGATATTTTTCCTTATTATTGCTTGAATTTCCTTGCAACAGGACAGCAACTTATGTGAATCAAGTGGCAGATGCTTTAGAATATTGCCATTCTAAGAAAGTTATCCACCGGGACATAAAGCCAGAGAACCTGCTAATTGGAACTGGAGGAAATGTGAAGATAGCTGACTTTGGCTGGTCTGTTCATTCACCATCTTCTAGGTGAGAATTTGAGTTCAACTATGCAAAAGCCTCTTAAGCTTTTCTGGTTCCTCTTATTCTGTGGCCCCAATTTCATCCCTATTCTTGCTAGGATGAATCCACTTACGGTTAAGTTTCCAACCTCTGTAACACATCTTAGCTATCTGTAAAATCAATTGTGAAGTGACTGAGACTTTGTTACATTTTTTCATGCTATATTAAACTGCAATAAATTCTAGAGTATGAGCTAGGATCAAATAAGTCCCACAGAACTGGATTTTGTTTCAGGGATGTTATTATGCTGGAAATGATATATATGTTTGTATACTGGTGCTTATGGTGTAAAATGCAGAATACTAGAATGTTTGAGACATGTTATAATTACCAGAAGTATGAGAGCCCTTTACCTTTAGAAAGTGTATATTGAATGGCCCAGAGCAATGTATGCACTTTTTATGTTTGTATTCCATATGTACAAGAATTGCAGGGAATGTGTAGAACATGAATGTTAGGCATGTGTGATATACCAATGGAAGGACATCCTGGCAAAAATAACCAACAACTGACACTTTGGCTCATGGGTTGTCAGGAATGCACTCATAGGCATCAATTATTAATTGGTCAAAATTCAACGAAAGTCACTTAGCTATGCTTTGGCATGGCTAAGTGGACATCCATCTTCAGGACTGCACACAGGAAAAAATACTTGTGGTGGATACTCAACTGCTCTGTGCCATCCCATCCACTTTACCACAGTAACCACACAGTGTAGAGAGCTGGATTTCTTCCTGAGGGGAGTCCTGAAGACAGATTTACAGTATGCACAATCAAATCAATTTCAAAATTTAGTCACATCGGAACAGAAATTCTAGCTCTGGAGACTGAAAAATCTTGACAGTGATCCTGCTGCTTTTTATTTGTGTTTCCCAATGTAGGAAAACATTGTCTTCCCATGAACCTTAGGCTGCATCATAGGTTGTGGGATTTGTGAATCCCTGTTCTTGGTAGCCTACATTGAATGGGGCAGCAGGCTTTATGCTTGAGACTCCAATCATATTCAGGAAATGGAAGGATCATGTGGCCATCTCTCCATGATGGAGGGACAGTTGTTCCCTATGTTTTGACTTGAAAATCCCATTATTTATCCTTATCCCTTTGTTTGATGCACTTTTCCTTACCCCATCTGTGTGAGTGTTACTTTCCCTTTTTTATTTTTTTATTTTTACTCGTTCGCTCCCATCTTATTACTTGAAAAGAAGCCATCTGCGATGTATTTTTGTTCTCCTTTCACATGTCCATTCGAGTCCTGAACAAGAATAGTTTTCTTGTGTGGGGTAAATTGCATTATTGGCATTCTTGTTTTTTGGCTATGCAAAGTGTCTTTGCTGAAAGAATCAACTATACTCATGGTTGTGTGTTATTCATTGAAGGATCAAGAGAGTTGGAACTTACATTAGTTGTACACAAGTGAATTTTGACATTTTTCAGGCGAGAGACATTTTGTGGGACCTTGGATTACTTGCCCCCAGAGATGGTTGAGGGGAAACCCCATGACAAAACTGTGGACATCTGGTGTTTGGGGGTCTTGTGCTATGAGCTGCTGTCTGGGAAGCCACCTTTTGAATCTACCAATGCTGATATGACACAGAAGCGAATAATTTCCCTCCAGTTCAAGTATCCCACTTATTTCTCTCCTCCTGTCAAGGATCTCATCTCCAAGGTGAGTGTTGCTGGTTTTCTGATTTCCTTTCATCAAACTCTCATTGGTCTGGATGGGAAGGATTTTATGCCTTCAAACATAGTTTTAAAAGTGTTTTGTACTAGTATCCTTTTTTTTTGTCCCATAGGGTGACTCAGTTTTCACCTGCAAAAGACCAAGCTCAGTCTATGAATTTACTATATGAATTTATGAATCTACTGGATGAAGCTGAGATAGCACCTGTTTTTGTACCAGTACTCGTAGGAGTTCTCTGACCATCTGGGATCATGGAAATCTGACATCCTGAGGCAGCATCATGGTGTGGCCAATGTAATGTCCAGTAGCCAAGAGAGACCAGTATTCCTGAAATTTTGCATTTCAGGCCAAAATATTTTTGAGTGTAATGACAAAGTTAAGGGGGGGAAAAGGGTGATAATGAGCATTTCAGTGGTAAATGTAAGTCATGTTTATGAGCATTGTGAAAAGCAATTCTGATTCATATTCCCCAGCTCTTGAGGAGAAAACCCGAGGAGAGGCTCCCTCTGAAAGAAGTGCTTATCCATTCCTGGATTGTGAGGAACAAGAAGGATCCTTCTTCATTTGTGACTAACAAGAAACAGTGACCCCTCTTACTTTGATTCCATATCCATTTGCTGAACTTAGATGATGAAGACCTAATCCTTCCATGTGGGTTCCTGGGCCTGCTTGTTGTATTCCTTTGATTTTGAAGCCCTGATCTCGCCGTGTTGGGTACCTAGGCCTGCTTTTGTTTTCCTTTGATTTTGGAGACCTGATCTTTTCTTGTAGGTTCCTAGGCCTGCCTGGTGTTTGATAATCTTTCATATTTGTCTTTACAATATTTTCCTTCAGGAATATAAAACATGAGAAGGGCAGACATGAAATACCTCTCTGGTTTTATCAATCTATTGTGTCAATAGTTTTAAGACCTGTCCAGTGAATAAGCCAAAGCACATCAGTGGTGTCACAGGGTACAGGGAATAGGGATGAGCCATTCAGTAAATCGGCTCATAATGATTGCCAATCTTATTTTGACACAATAAAGTATTTCTGGATTTTTTGTCACATGAGTTGATCAATCCAGGATCTAAAATCAGAGGATATCTTTGGTCAGAGAAGATTCATGCATGCAAAAAAGCTTTATGTGGTGTATGTTGGGCTGATGGTTTGTGTTCTGAGCATCATCATATTTACTTTCACATACTGAGTGTAAAACACTGTTATCTCTTAGCAACTGTGTGAGCTCTCTCCAGCCAATGGAGCATGCATATGCTGCAGTAATGTGAGGACCTTAGCTGTTATCATAATTGGCTTCAAATGCAACATGTTCTATATTGGGTGCGTAACATACTGCCTGTGGACCGCATCCGGCCCACAAGGCCCTTGTCCATGGCCTACCATGACTGGGGGGATTGTAATAGCCACTATGGCTCCTGCAGTGCTGGCTACAGCCATTGCCAGCCAGATGCAGCCTGTAGTAAATGAATAAAAATCGCATATGGCCCTCACATCCTTTTGAGTCGTGCACCCCTCTTCTATATCTTGCAAAGTTTTTCATCTCAGAAAAGAGACCCTGAAAAGGAAATTATTACAATTAGAACATGAGCAAGATTGTGACTGATTTGCAGCCTGCAAGGCACTCAGCCCCTAAGCAGGTGTGAGATTGGATTTGTCTCAGCTTTGCAACCGCCTCTACTAACCAGGAACTGTCTGAATCAGTTGGAAATTCAAGTAAATCTAAAAGTGTGGTTCACTAAACCATAGTATATGGTTTAGTGAACCTGTACCTCATATATGAGGGTAGTTTGGCAATGGGTGAGAATTTCAAGTACATGCTGGCTCACAGCTCACAGAACCATCTTTCTTTTGACGCAAAAACCATTGTTCTAGTCCAAAAATTGCAGAAGTTGTTACAATTTTAAAACACTTGACTTTCTACGTGACTTTCTGTACTCCCTGTATATTGCCCATGCACATCCATACTGTCTTCCAGAAATTTTGCATCACTTACTAACGAAGCAATTTCTCATTACTGGATCTATCAAGCATATGGACTTTTATGCCATAGAATGCTTTCTACAGTATATCCACTGCATTTACCACTGGTGGTATGAAGGACGCCGACGTTTTCTTGAAACCTTTAGTTGCTTGGGAATCCCTCCCATTCGGCACAACAACGTTTTGTCAAAATTGAGAAAAGGTTGAAACGTTGAGACTCGGTCGAAGTTGAGAATTCGGCGAAAAGTCAACACTGATGAAATGCTAGTTATTCGTAATTAATCGTATTTTCAGCATTTGGTGACTACTCGTGGATTAGCGAAGTCGTTCAGAGGCAATTAAGTGCAAATTCGTTTTTCATCATAGCCTCTGTTGTTTCTACGTGGAGTTATCCACATAATATCGACAGAAAAAAGGTTCTACGAATCGACGCGAGATGACACCTAACCGCTGATTCAGCGATTCTTACCCTGGTGCCCTGAAATAAATTACCCTGTATTTTTCATACAATACCTGATCTTTTCCCATGCACAACGTAAGAGAAGGCATAGGAATTTATAGATAGACCTGTTTAAGGAGGTAACCTGGCAGGAGGAGACTCAAAGTATCTGATACTTCTGGCCAGTGGGTCCGACAAGACATGCTGAAATTTCCTAAATCTCCACATGGCCCGTACTTCTCACTCGGGCACTTTCAATATGAGTAATGCATGGAAACATGCTCACCGGATTGTCTCCTCTGCTAGACAGAAAGTTTTGAGTTCACGTAAGTTATCGACCGGAATTCTGATCCAGTAATGGAAATATAATCTCTGAGGTCCATCTCCGTGGGATGATTGTACTCACTAGAGTTCTGCTTTTATCATGCCGCGTGGGAGCCTTCCTTCCGTGAGATCATCGAATCTCCATTCAGTCTCATCACCTAATCGATATTAACGCTCTTTCAGACAGGATAAGGGAGGAGGCACTACAGGAAAACCTCGTTAATTCGATATCGGATACTTCGAAGTCATCTACGTTCCTCGTCCGAGAGGATAGCGATTTTTATTCTTTATAGTATGGATAATTCGAAGTACGGATACTATGAAATACCGAAGGCATTTTCTGGTCCCGTGAGCTATGAACTCAGAAACGTGTTCGTTTACTTCGAAGGGCACTTTTCCCTAAGAACTACGGATGTCTCAAACCGCACTCCAAATGGCTGCAAAACCAGCTAATTTGCCTTGGAAACATTTTTTTTTTATTCAGAATAATTCTAAATATAGACTAATGCCCCCTTTCACTAGATCTCTCCCTCTACCCTTACCTATCTCATTCACACCTTGTACGACCTTCTGTCAAAAAACTTTGCATTGTGGCAGCAGAGTCTCTCTCCCTCTGTGTTGTGAGCGAAACAGGGGTGAATGTGCCATGGCGAACAAGAGGGAGTACAACGAGTTAAGTAATTCACAGAAGTTGAAAGTTAATTTGTTGTTAATTTAATAAGTTGTGAAGTGGACAAGAAAGAAAAATCGAAGGCCGATATCGCAAAAGAATTTGACATACCGCTTTCAACTCTATCCACATTCCTTAAAAATTGTGGCACCATTGAAAAGCTGGCAGAAGGTGGCCATGAAACCGACATAAGGAAGAGAATATGAGGCGCAAAGCACGCGAATTTAGTACAGTATTACTGTCCTAAATCCGGCTGAATAGTACAGTATTACAAAATAACAATGGCCAAACCGGATAATTCGAACCCGCTTATTTCGAAGTCGGTATTTTTTGGTCCCGTGGATTTCGAATTAACGAGGTTTTCCTGTATAATGCCCAAACTTTGACAATTCAACGTTGACACAACGTTACTCAGCAGCAACTCTACAACGTTGAACTGTTTCATTTCGACCTTTTCTCAACATTGTTACGTTAAAAAATTAACCTTTGCTCAATGTTGACGCAACGTTGTTGTGCCGGATGGGTCTGGTCAAGCCTCTCAGCAAGAAAATATGGATTTCCATTTATGATTATAGATGTAAGGCACAGAAACAAGCTTCGTGGGAAGTTTACCACATTCCAAACTGGTCCAGACGGTTTCTGGAGAAAATTCCAGAATCATGGCGCCTTTAGTGCAGTTTGCGGTATCTTTTTTTTCACAGACATGAATTGCCAACACTTGGGTGTAAACGTGTTTTTTTAGGTTGGTGATCCTATTGATGATAAATTCAAGCAAAACGATTGCAAAATTTTTAGCGGGTAGTTGGGTAAGTGATAGAAATTCCGACCCCCTTAGCTTTGAAATCCGTCCCCTCACCTACGTTTCGAAATTGATGTTTTTGGGATCTGTGCCATTGGAGAAGAGGATGTGCTCACCGTTCATTCACATTTTTTACTGGAAATTGGTGTAACTTGGTTGAAAAAGGCTGTTTGGATTTCTTACAGCGTTGAGTTATGTAATGTTGGGGGCGGACTTGACGTGGTGCAACGGGGTCGTAATTTGTCTCACAGGGTGTTCCAGATATACACTGAAGATATATCACATATGCAACTGAAGTTTCGACTTGTACTCCTATTCCACCTTCTGGGGCCCATTCCACAGAAGATTCACAAGCTACAAGTCTACTATTACTTGTAGAATCAAGTTTCTGTTCCACAAAAGAAAATTGTACAAGGAAGTACAAGTTCATTCATTTACAAGCGAATTGAGTTTGGGAAAATGAATTCTGTTCCACAGAGCCAGATGTTTTACAAGTACAAGTCTATAGACTTAAGTACAAGTCTATAGACTTGTACTTGTAGCTCTAATTTCTACAAGACTTTCATGCTTGGTAAATGTATTTTCTGCACTCCCGTGTCTAGCGTAGACGATGGATTTTCCTGTTGTGACCATTTCAAAGGGCAATATCAATATAGGCATAGTTTTAATGTGGTACAATACGGTAGAGTTGGGCTCATGCGATTATGTCGCAAAAAAACTTGAAAAAATAAAATCCAGCGCCGCAGGAAATGAAATACCTGACTATAAGCATCGCCAGCTAAAGAATGATCACAGCAACTTTACTTGGCGCCCTCTTTGATAGAATTAACCTTGAATGTAAATGTGTAAGTCTCCGTCTGGTGTACTACCAATGGACTCGAACAGCTTCCCCACTTTGTTGGGCACACTCGATTGCACCCTATCTGGAATACGTAGACTCTGACCTTCAGGCCAAGACATGGCGTATTCGATTCTGCATATCCAGCTCCTCGTCATAAGAGATATCCATACACTTTCATTAATGAAACCTCATTTGGTGTCATTCCACGAGTGCTACTCGATAGAGAACTCCGGAATGCTCTCAGAACTTGTAATATGCGCTGGCTCCAGTGCCTTGTACTTTTGGGTTTACAAGCACTATCACAAACTCCGTGGAACAGAAAATAGAAATACTTGTAAATACAGCCACTCCACTTGTAACTTGCAGCTTGTAGCTTGTAAATCTGTGGAATAGGCCCCTGAATGCAATCACTCTTAAGCAATACTGTGCCCCCCCCCCCCCCATTTTGTTTCCATTGCTTTACCAGTTTTTTGAGTTCCAGTAGCAAACCATGATTCAGGAATAGCTTTCACCCACTACACTACGTGGTATTTTGAGCTATGAGGTGGGTGGGGTTGAAGTCTCAAAAGGGCTTTCCAAGTTTTCCTCATTCCTCCCAACCACTCACCTTCATCGGCCATTTCGTCATCTCATGAGCCTCAAAGAGCCTCACAAGACACCCCCCCGTAGCAGAGAGTGATCGGCATACCATTTGTAATCCATGCAAAACTTTTCGAATTTGTATTAA